CCCGGCCTTCAGACAGCCTGTACACCCTGCTACACTGATGGCTGCTGTGCACCCGGCTTTCATCCAGCCTTTTCACCCTGCTACACTGATGGCTGCTGTGCACCCGACCTTCAGACAGCCTGTGCCCTGCTACACTGATGGCTGCTGTCCACCCGGCCTCTCAGGAGGGCCATTGTGACCATAAACATGAAAGTTAAAATGACCCTTAAAAATGGGCTGGAAACTTTAAAAGTTAAATTTTATCTTTCGGAATGAACGTCCAAATCCCTGGGGAGTTAACTGGTAGAGTACCACGGAGATGTTTGACTCTCTTTGGATTTTCTCCAGTCTTCATAACATAGCTGATTGTGGAAACGCTGTGTCACTTCCATTTGATTTCTAAATATTCATGATGAATACGCTTCATTTATGCTAAGATATAAACTTTTCACATTACTGTTAAAGTTGATTTTATTCATCATGGAGAGCACATGTACTTGCATTAGAGAGAGAGGGGGAAGTGGGGAGAGGGAGAGAGGAGAGAGGGAGAGAGGGAGAGATGAAGAGGGAGAGAGGAAGAGAGGGGGAGAGGGAGAGGGACAGAGGGAGAGGGAGAGAGGGGGAGAGGGAGAGAGGGAGAGAGGAGAGAGGGAGAGAGGGAGAGATGAAGAGGGAGAGAGGAAGAGAGGGGGAGAGGGAGAGGGACAGAGGGAGGGGTGAAGGGGAGAGGGGGAGAGATGGAGAGGGACAGAGGGAGAGGGAGAGAGGGGGAGAGGGAGAGGGGGAGAGGGAGGGGTGAAGGGTAGAGGGGGAGAGGGAGAGGGAGAGAGGAGAGGGGAGAGGGGGAGAGATGGAGAGGGAGAGTTGGAGGGGGAGAGATGGAGGGGGAGAGAGGGAGGGGAGAGGGAGGGGAGAGGGTGGGAGAGGAGCCCCTGGGCAGTCCCATTGCACTGCTGTCCCTTCCCCAGCCTTCAGCTCCTCGAGGTCTTGGGCAGGTGCTCCAGTGTGATTTCAGGCTGGCCGAGGGATTTGAACCTCTGGCTGGTTGTGGGGCTTCTAGCCTGCAGATCAGCTTGCCACTGGTTATGCCCCAGGCTGGGCTGGGCCTCACAGTTGTCCATTTCGAGGTGGATGTGTCTTACTCCCCAGGGTGACCACCGCTCCCACGGCCACACGGCCCTGCCTGGTGACATGTGGCTGATGGCATCTCACGATCGAGTCTCAGGTGTGGCCCCGTTGTCTACGGTGTGCTGCCGGGGCTCTGCACACGCAGGGAAGTGGTGCAATCCTGAGTCTCCAGGGCCCTTGGCACCCCCTCCCTGGGCAGAGCATTGGCACAGGACACCCAGCTGTGCCAGCTCCACACCACCAGGCCTGGCTGGGACGCAGGGCGCTGCAGCTGGGGTGGTGGTGAGTGGGTGGGGCGCGTCACAGACCCAGCCCTCTGCAGCCGGGGTGGACAGGCCATCTTCTCACTTCACCCCCTCCCACTCCTGGGGCTGGGTCAAGGTCACTGCGGGCACGTCCATGCCCTCCTCTCCCCCCTCTCCTCTCCTGCTTCCTCCCCCTGCCCCCTTCCTGCTCAGAGCCCTGGGAGGCTGTCCTCCTGGCCAGGTGGCTGTCACGGCTCTTCCCGCCCCTCCTGGATGAGCGTGGTCTCTCTGAGCTATCTGAGCAAGGCAAGCATGTCCCATGGTCGTGGCTCAGGGCTGCTCCTCCTTGCATTAGGGAGCCCTCACCAGTGGAGGACTGCCGAGGCCTCATGGGCACCCGATGTCCAGCCTCCTGGTCATGGCCTCCGCTTACCTGAGCTCCCTTTGCTTCCTGGCACTGGCTCCCACTGGTCCTGGGGCTCCTGGTGATCCCCTTGGGCAGCGTCTCCCTCAGGAAGGCCGGCATCGCCTCAGCCCTGGAAGCCCTCCCCACCACTATCCCGTCTCAGAGCTGAGGCCCCTCAGTGGGGTGAGAACCCAGGGACCTGGCTTTGCTGACCGCACAGCAGCGGGTGTGGTCAGCCGGCGGCCGGGCACCACACGGCTTCCTGAGTCGTCCTCCTGTGCCCCGGGCCGGCCGTCTTGCCGGCACTTTCTGGGTTGAGTTGCGAGCCAGACCTCGTGATTCAGATTTCTGGGGACCCCTGGACTCCGAGTGCTCAGGCCCCCTGCAGCGAGCTCAGTGCAGCCGGTGCCCTGCCTGGCTCTGCAGCCTTCATACACCCAGAGAGCAGGACCCAGGGCACCCTTTCTGAAAGGCCTCCTAGCAAGGGAGGCCATGGCTGGCATGGGAGCCCCAAGGTGGCCGATGTGTCCAGGAGGCCAGGCCTCGGTGGGGATTGGGGTCTGCAGGTCCCACAATGGCGCCCTCTGCCTTGACCAGCAGGAGGGCCTCGGGTGACCGGCCGGTGATGCCCGTTTTACACGAGTGGAGGTAAAGAAGGTTGCCCTGTGCAGCCCACGCTCTGCCAGGCGGCCTCGGGAGAGAGTGTGGACCCTGTGCTGTCCCGCGGTCAGTCCAGGTGGTGGCCCCGCGCCTCGGAAAACCTGCTGGTGGTGTGGGAGGTGCCACCGTGCCACCTCACGTGAGGGCCATATTTAGGGACAGTGGAGGCAACTGCTCTGGGCTTAGCTTTGAGTAGGTGGGAGCTGAGAGTCTGGGATTCCTGGCGAGAAATCCTGTATTTTGCAACAAAGGGAATATGTTACCTAACAATAAGGAGATTTGCGAGAATTTCAGCTTTTTAAAAAGACTTCTCTCCACTCCCCAGAGAAAGGGCTTTCCTTTCACTTCAGAATATTCCGAGTCAGAAGGCTTTAGCGGGAGGCTCATTTTGAGCACTCTTTCTCCTGCCGGAATTTCCTTTCCGGAGACAGTTCAAGGCTTTTCCTAGTATTTGTCATATACAGTTTACTCTCTGCTGTGTCGTTAATTAATTGTCTTTTTTTAAACCTAAAGTTATTCTTTAGGTTTAAATTCATTCTCAGGTGCTATTTTACGTCATACAGTTTTTTTGGAATTTGACGCTCTTTGTTTTGAATTAAAGAATGCACTGAGAGTTTTAAATAAAACCTGGCATCGGCGTTCACAGCGTTTTGCCGCCCGTGTAAACGCTGCAGGAATGGGTTTCCGCTTCACCGCCCTCACCGCGCTGTTTCTCTTCCAGCCGCCGCGACCGCG